TTGTTGCCCATAGTACAGATTTTTACAGCCAAAGCTGAAACAGCACAGAGGCTGTAGGGTCAAGGATTGTCGGCAGTGCAGTGTGTAGTGATTAAGAGCCCAGGGACAGAACACAACGTCGACCCCCTGTCCCCAGTATTTCCATTGGGCTTGCCTCTATTTTTCTTTTCAAATATCAGATGTGTGCTGCTATTTGGCGGACATGCTCTGCTCCTTATGTTCTGGGTGACCTTGTGTGGTCCGAGTAAGAGAGATCTGCTCCAGTGGTGCTGGATTCCTCTATGTCCTCTTGCTGCAGATGGTGGCCTTCCTGCCTCCTGCTGGCAAGGAAGCTGAAGTTAACTGGGTGTGCCTGGAAGAAGCCAGCCCAATTCAAGAAATCTCTTGGGATGTTCGTACCCTGCAGCCTCCTCCAGAACAGGACAACCCCCAGTATGGTGAGGACCCAGAGAAAAAGAATTGGACAGACATCGCCAGAGATTAAGGAATTTAATTCCCTGCTTTGAGCCAGGGAAGAAATTGGGGCATTAAGGTTGTGATATGCAGATTGTGGGAGGAAATTGACACCACTCACTCACGCTAGATCTGCCATTGCAGGGAGATGGAATTATCCTCCTCTCCTTCCCCTGTGTATTGTTCTGGGAAGTTCTCCTGACCCTCCACAGCAGATTGGAGGGAAGCACAGGGGGGAAGGCCTGTTGCTTTAGTGGGAGCCCTTGCGTTGACTTCTGTGAGTGTACTGGGTTAGTTGAATCTAGGCCTTTGTGCCTGACTTTCACCAGATCTGCAAACTGTGGTCTTTCCTCACAGCGGGCCTCAGTTTTGAAGCTATCCTACTGCGGCCCACTCAGGAGCCAAAGAAGGCCAAGTTTCCATTAGTGGTGTCACCTCATGGTAAGTACTTCGTCTTCATCACTCCCTTCCCCTCATTCAAGGCACAGGGTGATTCCTTCGCCCTTCATCTCACTGGCACTCCCGCCTTCTCCTTTGCAGGAGGCCCACACTCAGTCTTCACCACCAGCTGGATGCTGTACCCAGCACTCCTCTGTCGGATGGGGTTTGCTGTGCTGCTGGGTAAGTGGTGGCCCAGAGCATTCTCAGTCACCCAGTGGGCTGGTGGGGTCTCAGTTTATCTTTGAATAGGGCATCACAATTAGGAGACTGGGCTGTCAATGGATCCTCTCCCATGACAGTGGTAAATGACTGCAGCGTGGTCCAAATCATTTGGCCTTTTCCTGTCTAGACCAGTCTGTCTCAGTTGCTCAACAGGTGTGCTAGGGGAGTGACACTGGAGGAGGAATGACAGTAGTCAGTTCAGGTAGCAGGTAGGGAGAGCTGGAGATTCCTGCCATGGTATCATCCTTCCATTAGAGGAAGCTATGACGATAGACTTCTCTGCCTCCTTTCTTTTAGCAATGCTTTGTGCCACTGGGGAAGTGGTAATTCTGCATTGATTTGTTTTGGATGTTTGTATGTGATGCCAATAAAAGGTTTGATGATGATGATGATTAGAGGAAGCATCCTCCTGCCCAGTGATTCTGCAACCTGGTTGAGCAGAGCGACACCTCCTTGGAGAGCAGGAGGCTCAGCTATAGCAAAGAACTGGAGATCTCAATGAGCCTGTTTTTCTCCCTTCCCTAAGTGAATTACCGAGGATCACTAGGCTTTGGCCAGGACAGTGTGGACTCCCTTCTGGGGAAAGTGGGCAGTCAGGATGTCAAGGATGTGCAGGTAAGAGGGTTGCAATCCCCCTTTCCAGGGCAAGCAGGGAGGGGTGGGGAGCTGTAGATTTTTTCACTGGTGGGAAGATGCTGCAGTGCTGTTTCCCCCCCTTGCACCCACCGCCTTCTTTGCAGTTCTGTGTGGAACAGGTGCTACATGAGGAACTGACGGATCCACAGAGAGTGGCCGTGTTTGGTGGCTCCCATGGAGGCTTCCTATCCTGCCATCTCATCGGCCAATACCCTGGCACCTACAAGGCTTGTGTGGCCAGGAATCCCGTGGTCAACGTGGCCTCCATGGTTGGAAGCACTGACATCCCTGACTGGTGCGTAGCAAAGGCAGCCTGAGCAGCTGCAGTTTCTCCTTCATGCCTGTGGCTGCTGTAATGAGGACACAAGAAGGCCCATACACTCCTGCATCCTATTCTCCCAGTGACCAATCAGCTGCTGATGGGAAGCCTGCAAACATGACCCAAGGGCAAGAGCACTCTCCCAAGGTGGTTCCCAACAATTGGTATTCAGAGACGTACCACCTCACGGTGAACACACCCATCGTGGCTAGTAGCTATTGATAGTCTTAACACACACACACCATGAATTAATTGAATTGTCCTTTAAAACCATCCAAGTTGGTGACCATCACTATATTCCATAGTTTTAATTTATTTATTTACAGTGGTACCTCGCAAGACGAATGCCTCGCAAGACAAAAAACTCGCAAGACAAAAGGGTTTTTGGTTTTTTGAGTTGCTTCGCAAGACGATTTTCCCTATGGGCTTGCTTCGCAAGACGGAAACGTCTTGCAAGTTTGTTTCCTTTTTCTTAACACTGTTAATACAGTTGCGACTTGACTTCAAGGAGCAACTCATAGCACGTGGTGTGGTAGCCTTTTTTGAGGTTTTTGAAGACTTTGGTGATTTTTGAAGCTTTTCCAAAACTTTTCCGAAACCGTGCTTCGCAAGACGACAAAAATCACAAGACGACAAAACTCGCAGAACGAATTAATTTCGTCTTGCGAGGCACCACTGTACTCATTTATAATCTGCACTTTCATAAAATGCATTGGTCCCAATGTACAGGGTTTACCCCACTTGCTGCACCTGTCAGCTGGAAGAACTTTCCGTTTATTCCGGCTCTCTGCTTCCCGTTCCCACTGTTTTGATACCTGCTGTGCTGCTACTCCTAGGTGCCTGACGGAGGCTGGCTTACCGTATGACCAGACTGCCCTCCCAGATCCCAGACAAGGGGCAGAGATGCTGCTTTGTTCACCTATGCAATACGTTGACAAGGTACAATACACACAGACCTTCCCTCTCCACATCCATTGGTCCAAGAACTCCATGATTTCGCTACTTCGTTTTCAGAGCTTTGGTTTCTCCAGCTGCCTTGATATCTTTGCCCTTTTCCTCCTTAGGTTCAGACACCTGTTCTTTTAATGATAGGAGAGGAAGATAGACGTGTACCCCCCAAGCAAGGCTTGGAGTATTACCGTGCTCTCAAGGCCAAGGGTGTCCCAACCCGGTAAGCATAATAGGCAAACTTGGCAAATAATGCAAAGGAGCTGGCTGAAAGGAGGCTCTATAGAGACAAAGGGGTGGTGGTCAAGAGGCTAGAAATATATGCGACTGGGTCAGGAGGGGAGAATTGTGTGTGGGCAGAAGGTCTGGCAAGAGAGAGTGGTGTGAAAAATAAACACATTACACCTAATATTTGTGTCTCTCTCTTTCTAGGATGCTGCTTTATCCGGGCAATAACCATTCGCTCTCTGGTGTGGAGGCCGAGGCAGACGGTTTCATGAATATTGCACTCTGGCTGATCCAGCACCTGAAATGATGACTACAAAAGCTGGCCTACTCCTTTTGTAACCCGCTTCCATACTAATAAGCAGCGTGGTCAGCCGACATAATGCAAGGCACTTCAATTCCAAACAGCCACCATAGGGACTGGTTGTTGTCCAGAACTTGAATAAGTACATGGCAGAGGTCACCTTCATCACACACTTTGTCAGATCTTGCCCTCTGATAAGTAGTTCCACCATAGCAGGTGGCTTATTTGGAGGTGTCAGGTGCTGGGTACTGAATTTTGAATCTCTGTCTTTAGCCTTAGTCTTTGGGGACAACAGGTGAACTACAAAGACTCCTGCTGCAAAAGTAAATAAAACACACCTGATTGTCTAAGACTGCTCGCTCCTGACTTTTGAGAGGCTGACTTGCAAAGTGTAATTCTTTATAGAGATTGGGAACAACTGGGGCTTGTCAACTACTGAGATGCAAACTTTATTGGAGAGTACTGGATATTTTTTTGAAGAAGAGATAACAGGACTAGCAATTTTTTGACTCAAAGGGAAAAGAGGTAATTCACAAAGAGGATTTGTGGAATGTAATGCTCAACTATTGCTTTTGCTCTTCAGAACTCCTCCCATCCAGCTTATAGCTACAGATGTCACCAGGAACTAAATCCCAAACTTATCATAGTGCATATGAACCTCTCATGCTGTGTTGTCTCAGGACAAATTCCTGCTATATCATTTTTCTCTTGTATATACAGGCACTGTTTTCTCTGGTGCTTCCTGATACATTATCATGGAAGCAGACTCTACAGTTGGTCTTTCTCTTGAGTAGAGGGGGAATTCAGGGACCCATTACCCTATCTGCTGCTGGTTTCTGTTGGGAACTTAGAGGTGGACTATCAATAGCCACCTTAACATCCTTGTTATTTTCATTGGCTTTGTCCCATCCCTTGTCAATTTCCCCCTATTATTATTATTATTAAAATGTCTATACCACCCGTCATCCAAGGATCACAGGGCAGTTTACAGTATAAAAACCCAAAACATAGTAACAAACAAAACAACACACGCCAGTTTAAAAGGCCATAGAATGTCTAATTAGCCTTGAATTCTTGAAAATACAAGTATTTTTTCTTTATTTATCTCTCCATTTAAGAAACCTTAAATGGAACAGGAGGACATCTGATATTAGTGTACTTGAGCGTATCACTAATTACCACCATTCTTTTTAAATACATCCCGTTAAAGTTCCTGTTCACCTGTTCCTTCAGTTCTGCTTTACATAATCCCCAAAGTAGCCAAAAACCTTCAGGACAGATTAGTTGGGTATTGTTAATACTTCCTGGGCTTTGAAGATGCTCAAACTCAGGACAAAAGGGAGAAACTTACTAAGAGGCACGTTTGACAAACCCTCACCATGATCAACTCCTGCCCGGAAACCTATGTCCCTACTGTGGAAGGACGTGTGGATCCAGAATTGGCCTCCACAGTCACTGTTAAAACCATGCTTATGGAAGACCATCCTACTTGGCTACGAGTGATTGCCGAAGAAGAAGAATACCTCCATTTGTAAAGCAACCACTTTTGTCATGGGTTGGGAGCCTGTGGCTCTCCCATTGTTGTTGAACTCTTGCTCTCCTCACCCCCATCTATCATGGCCAATAGGTAGGGTGTCCCTGTAGGGGCCAAAGGTTCCTCATTCCTTTAAGATAGCTGCTTTGCATTTGTCCTGGGAGCCAAGTAACCAGATTTTGAATTCCTACTAAATAGAAGATAGTGTAGGATTAATCACGCCACAATTTCCCAGTATTTTTGCCATTTTCATTCCGAGGGCTTGGGTCAGATTAAAATGTATTTTGATTCTCATGCTGTGTTCTTTTGGTTAAATTGTCCACTTAGGCCAGTGAACAGAGCTACAATTTAACTTGAATCTCCTATATTCACAGTCTGCCTCCTGTATCCCACTGCTTTTTCAGCAGTGCTGCATAAGAGTAATTGGTTGCATCCTTTGCGTTCTCCATAGGCTGTAAATGAAAGTGTTGTAACAAATGAAATGGTGCCAAGAGACCGCTGCTGAAAGCACCACCCTGATCCCATCACCTTCCTTGAGTTCTGCTGCTGCTTCCAGGGGATTGACCTTCCGTTGAGAAAATGTCTTGAGGGAGATGCACACACCAGTATGACTTGTTAAATTGTGCGCAGTTGTGGGTGAGACAGCATGAGCTTATCTGATATATATAACACCAGGTTCCCTCACAGCGGGGGACTATAGAATGGAGATTGGGGTCTGGGGTTAGGAGCGAGTTTAATTCACAGTATCTGCTGTTTCGAGCGTCTGTGTAATTGCGTTCTCGCCACCTGTGCGGTTTCCCTTCCTTCATCACATTGTTTTACTCTCGCCCTTCCAAGCAGCTTGCGGCAGGGCAGCGTGCAAGCGTGGTTCTCACGTACCCAGCAACCCTGCAGGTCAGCTGAAGTGAGTGAATGGTTATGAGAAAAAGGAAGAAGCAAAACTTTGTTGTTGCGGTTGCCTTTATTATGGGCAGGGAGGGAGACCCCGATACAGTCAGTTCTCAGTGGGATCCTGCGCGTCTCACAGGGATCAGAAACAGCGCCATCGATCCCTCAGCTGTGACGAACACAAGCCTGCCCTTCGCGTGTATCTTTAAGTTTAGTTACCCGCCTGGAAAAAAGGAGCGGCAGGATCGGGGGCAAGAAAGGCCGCCACCCCTTCGGCTGGGCCTTCCCAGCAGGGATTTCCAGGGGGAACCGCGAGCAGAGGCCTGGCTCTGTCCCCGCCTCCTCTCCCCGCCCGGCCAATTGCTGTCGGCACCGCCCGCTTCCCGCCCGTGCGCTGTGCCCGCCCTGCTGTCCCGGGACAAGCGCCTCTCGGGCTGCTTCGGGGAAACTTCCAGGGCGATGGCTTCTAGAGCGGAGCGGGCGGAAGAGGCGGTGAGGCTGCGGAGCAGGGGAGGAGGGCGCTGGGGAAGCAGGTGCCGCCGGGCAAGCGCCTCCATTTGCCCTGAATAACGCCGCCTCTTCTCTCCTTCTAGCCTCCAGCGGGGTCGGGTCCTCTGGGCGCCCTGTACCGGGAGCTGAGCCGGTTTCCCGGCGTGACTTATGCCAGTGTAGGAGTCGGGTTTGCTGCCTGCGGCGCCGCCGCTGAGTGCCTGCCCCTCTACACGGGTGAGCCAGTTGCGCGGGTTAGGCGCTCTCCTCTCCCGGACCCCGCTTCAGAAAAGCCGAGGTTGTGTGGACAAGCCCAGTGGGAGGTCGGGCTGAGCTGTTGATGGGCGGGCAGTTTCCCTCCCCGTTCTCTTTTCGACGGGCATCAGCACTGCTCCATTAAAAACACTGTCACATGGAACTAAAGTCGTGAACAGCATGTTGCAAGTGACTCAAGCCCACGCTGGGGAATAGACTATGTTTATAAACCCAGAGAGTCTTCTGCTGGTTTCCTCACTTCCAGAAGTGAAGTTACACAGGGACTTTTCTGTAGTAGCTCCATCCCAGTGGGAACACCTTCCCTTCAGGTGTCAAGGAAACAAACAACTATCTGACTTTTAGTGCTTTTTGAGTCTGGTTATATATATACCTGGTCCTTTGCTGTTAATCAATTGTTTTAAAAGCAAATATTAATATGCAGTGCCGTCCGCTTTGGGCATCTCAGACCCCGAGCCAGTTAAACATGGAGTTGCAGTGGCCTTCCATTTGAACTATGTCACAGAGAGAGGTTGACATAAGACAGCCAGGACACCTCTTACTTGGTAGCAGATGAGAAAAATATTGGATCCCCCCCCCCCCGTCTCTTGCCTGTTACACCTCTGGGATTAGAAGTATCATGGCATGGAGGTCAGAAAACTAAGTTGCCTTTTCAACAACCTGCCTCCATTGGGGCCTTGTCTTAGGTCCAGAGGAGAGGAGTTGGCCCAGTCTTTTAGAAACTCTCAGGTGTGTTGTAATCATATGCACTGCAAAAAGCTGACTTCACTGTGTAAGAATAACACCATCCCAGCCCATACACCTCAAGTTTGCAGTTACTTCCAAGTTAAAAGATGATGTGTAATTTATAAAAAGAAAAAACATTTATCACATATGCTGAATGCAAGGGGGGAGTGGCTGCCCCCTTTTTATATGGTAAAGTTAGAGACTTTATGATGTCAAATTAGGAGCCAAATATTATAAGTAACCTGATTTGAGACTGTGGTTAAAAAAACAATGTGCTATCAGGCCTTGCAGCATCTCATGGCAACTGACAGTTTTCCTGCAGTGAAAGAGATGTTTAGGATGGGTTGTCACTGCCCACTTGCTCTACTGGAAGGAAGTAGAATCCTCCAGGAGGGGCTACCTGAGTGGGCTGGGCAACCTCTCTCAATATGCTAATATTCAAACCTGAGAACTATGTTACAGGTAGGTAGCCGTGTTGGTCTGCCATAGTCAAAACAAAATAAAAAAATTCCTTCCAGTAGCACCTTAGAGACCAACTAAGTTTGTTATTGGTATGAGCTTTCGTGTGCGTGCACACTTCTTCAGATATCTGAGAACTATAATCAGTAATGTGGCAACCAAGAGCTGTAAGGGAGGAAAGCTTAATGGGCTGGAAATGAATATAAGAGAGATGGCCATATAGACAGGGAAATAAGAGAGGGAAACCCCTCTCCAGACTGCAGGATAAGGACCCCTGTTTTAAGTATGCTGACAGTACACATCTTTATACACCTGGCTATGGCTGATCCTAGTACCTACAGTAGCAGAATATTACCACTGGGCAGGCCAACACCCCTTCTCACTGCAGAAAAAGAGCTTAACACAAAGTCCAACATTCTCTTTTCCTTCAGTGGAGGAGGGGAGTCTAGGATGAGTTTGGGTGCAAACTATGTCCCTGTGACCTGATATAACACCTGAAGGAAGCCTTTGCTGACATATATCTGTCGAGAGGCAGCTCCTAAAATTTCCCCTAGGAGAGCCCTAGTCCCAAATGTGGCAGAAGTGTGCTATGATGCTCTGGGCGGCTTTTCTTGGTGTCCTTGCCTTGAACAGAGTCCCCCAAACCCTCCAAAAAAAGTTGCTATCTCAATAGTTCCCATTAGTTTCCTCTGTCACACAGAAAAATAAGTATATTTCCACTTTTGCTGCTCTGCCTGGTGTTGGTGAGAGTGGAAAGTGGGTCTTGAGCATATGTAGGTCCCAGTTCCACTCAGTGAGGCTGTTAAGATGAAGCTGCAAAGTTGGCCAAGAATCTCACAGCCTAATTTGTATCTAATGCTAATGATTTCCAGCTATCTGTAGAATGTCAAGTGTCTGTTCTCAGTTAGAAAAATGTCACTTATGCTGAATTTGCAGCATGAAAGAGGATAACTGCATTATGTGTGACCTCTAAACAATGATAAGCAAAAACGTCTCTTGAAATTACCAATTCCAGAAGTCTTTAGTGAGACCCGTTACTCATGCTGTTTACTTGCAATTTCAGTTCTGATGAGCTGCACTTTCCCTAAATGTCTCTAAACACAGTTAACTGTCATCTCTCACAAGATTAATTCTGATATAACACATTCTCAACTCCTTTATTGCTGGATGAGGTGCTCTTTCTCCCCGTAGCTCTACAGTCAGTTCTCCATTTCTGAACTCTGGTTGTCTTAATCATGGTGTCTTGGAACAGAATCATTGTCTCTGTCTTGCTGGCTTTCTGGACTTTGTGCTTCCCACAGATTTCCACATAAAATTCAGAAACAGCAGTACTACACACTGGGATGGGAGATTCCAAGGCTCAGATACCCGGTCTTACCTTCCTCCTTTCCTGCAGAGTGGTGCCAGCCTGACCTGGGGCGCCATCAGAAGCTGCATTTCAGCCGTCAGTATATCCTACACCACAATAGCAGAGCAATTGTCTCCGTTACTCCTGTTGGCATTCCAGCTGAGATCCGGGACCAGTACGTAGAGCATCCAGTTGCCCTTAGCATACCTAGCCATGCTTTAGAAATTCAATCCAGACTTGGATTGGGATAACCTGGCACAAGATAAAATATAAACCAGAGTAAGGATAATCAACTTTCCCCAAGGAACCAAGATAGGTTAGAATGGGTTGTTTTCAAGGGGGTGCTTTGAGAGAACATAACTTTTTTTGCCTTGGTGACAAATTGTGCTACCCTATTACTGTTTCTGCAAGTCATAGGCTAAGATCCTTCTTTGTGCAACCTGAAAGTCTTCTACTGGGAGTGATGGGAATCATAGGACTGCATATAAACTATTTAGCTCCTTTCCAGGTTGGAGGGTTTTCCTTAAAGAAGAAGGAAATAAATGGGCTTTAACCAAATGACCTATCTATTGGTTTACTTGCACAGATTTTAAGCTTTGTTTTAGGGGCAGTTATGCAACAATGAGTGCTCATCCTGACTTGACTTTGGGTTGTTTATATATCATCCTGTCAATTTGCTCGTCCCATACTTTGTGATGTTAGGAAAGTGACAGGGAAATGAATTTCAAAGCCCTTTAGAAAAAGGTGGATTTGTTGCGCTAAGGTAACAGAGTGCTTTAACCTACTTGAATTGTGCACACCTAAAGTTTTGGTGTGTGCTTGAATCCCTCCTGAAAAACACTGGTGGCCTTTGGTGGGGGGGGGATGGGAGTAGGGTGTCCTTTGGTTTAAAATGCCTCTCAGAGCTGGCTCTGCTGCTCATGTGGTCCCTCTCTCCTGTGCCACAGACTGCTGATCAGAATGTCACCCACTGGGATGCATAAGGCTGTTTTCACCCATCACTTGGAAATGGGGCAGAAGCAGGAAATGATAGAGGTAAAATGGTGTGTGTGTGTGTGTGTGACAGTAAAGTGCATGCTAGCTAGCAAATACCCGTCACACCTACAGAGCAAGGATGGTGCTGCAAAGACTTATTAAATGCTTTGTGTAGAAAGAGTAGGAATAGTGTTGCTGCACCCAGGCATGTGTATTTGGAATTTTGTAGGAATATACTTTTACAATGCTGTATACAGCCATCCGCTTGTGGGCTGTTATTATGTGCATTATAAAATATTGTGGTTTTAAAATAAAAAAAATAGTAATTTTGGTTTGGAGAATTTGGTGAGCTGAGTGGGTTTTTTTATTATTGCTGGTTCACTGGGGGTGTTTTGTAGAAATAACCTTGTATTTTACCTTTTAAAATTGATGCTGTTGTATTATTTATTTATATTTTATAATGTAAACTGCTTTGAAAGAGTTATTCTCAGGAAGGCAATCTATAAATATTTTAAATAGAAATAAATAGTCAAAGCTAGTTACTACAGGCCTCTGGAATAACTTGATAATTGCCTTTTTGTTAACATGAAATCTGAGATTCAGACACGGATGAGAAGGAAGGAAGTCTGCCGTATTATGTGTGAAACATCTAGGGAATCTGCCTTTATGGGGATACATAGACAGACCAAAGGTGAGGGATTACATGCACAGTCCCTTTGGACTGATATCACTGGGCACATGTCTCTTAAAATCTGGCACTGCCCTCCCTCACCTCTTCAGCTCCCCCATCTTTTTCAGTCCTAGCAGTGGAGTCAGGGAAGAAAGTGGTTATGGTGCTTGAGGAAATGTAGCAGGCCTGTTGATATTGCACGGTAGTGGTGGGCATTGGCCTGTGCTGATTTCTGTTTCTCAGCAGGTCTGGAACAAGAGTGGAAAGGTGAGAAGCATTAATCTCACATCACTGGATAAACATGGCAGAGTATACACAGATGGTAAGGGCAAAAGAAAGGGCTTGGCTGTATGCTGCTACTTTGTAGGTAAAGCAAGTGATGTTCCCTCAGTCCTGTGTGCCCTGCTCTCTCCCAGCACAACACTTGCTCATGCTTCTTCCTATTAACATCCTCTCCCTAACACCAAAGGAGAATTTGGTTATCCCACACAATATTCTTTCCTCTTTCACTGCCCTTTCAGGCATCTCTGGGTGGTGTTCTTAAAAGGTCCTCCCTAACTCTCACTGGAACCAGGTTTTCAGATCTTAGTGACAAGGCTAGGCTGAACTGCTTTGGTGAATGTCACACTAGCCATGTACCTAGGTCACAAAGCACACACGCCTTTACATGTTTCTGTCTGTGAAAACAGTCTGAGGTAGAATTCTGGTGAGGCCGCATTCATATTTAAATATGCAGCACAATTTGAGACCCGGTCTATGCTACTTGAGATTTCACTGTCTGTCCTACTTGCTTAGCTTGGCCTTTAGATAGCAAATCCTGAGCTCTTTGCATCTTAAGCATCAAACTTCCACACAAAGGGGGAGCTTGCTTTTTAGGCACAATGAACAATTATAACCCCAAAAGTAGAGTAGGACTGTCTTTGGCTGATATTTACACACTGTTTAGTAACTTGCGGCTTTTCTCTGGGACAGATTCAAGCAAATAGTTGATCAGCAGTGCAACAAGTCCTACCGATGCAATGGGGCTTCCTCCCCCCCATGCCCCCATCAGTTCTGAGGGGTCAGGATAACCCCAAATAGTGTGCAAGGGGGAGAGAGGGGCAATTGTTCCATCAGCACAAGCAAAAATGCTTGCTGTGACAGAGCAAACGCCTTAGCATGATGCTGGATTCCACCCTCAGTCTTCACTAACCATTGATTAGGACCTCAGGAGAACACACACTCTGTTTTATATAATAGCAGGAGCTGCTGCCTAGGAGTGCTAATTCCCCTGCAATGGCTTTGGGGTAATATCAGATCAGTCAGTCAACCTGTTACCCATAGTTATGTGCTCAGCATTGTGAACTGCTTCTCTTCCCATTTGCATTCTGCTTTAGTGAGAGGGGTCAGCCCCTCACTCAATAGGATCATTGCCTATTTTCCTTTCTGACCTTATGCCACCAGAGCAGTTTGGGTGTGTTGCCTGGTCCAGTTCAGAAACACAGATCCTTTATGTTGCTGAGAGAAGACGCCCCAAAAGGCAACCACTTTTCCCTCAGAGCAGGTCCCCCCAAGGAGAGGAGCCAGGTGAAACAAGAAAGGTATCTACTTTTTATTATTCGGCATTGAGATGTTTATACTGTGCCACATGCTTTACCGTCTTTATTCTGTCATAGAATCAGAATTGTAGAACTGGAAGGGGCCCCAAGGGTCATCTTGTCCACCCCCTACAATGAAGTAATATCAACTACAGCATCCATAACAGATGCCATCCAGCCTCTGCTTAAAAACCTCCAAGGAAGGAGAGTCCACCACCTCTCAAGGGAGTCTGTTCAGCTGCTGAAGAGCTCTTACTGTCAGAAAGTTCTTTCTCATGTTTAGTTGGAATCTCCTTTCTTGTGACTTGAGTCCATTGGTCTGGTTGCTACCCTTTGGAGCAGGAGAAAAGAAGCTTGCTCCATGTTCATGTGACAGCCCTTTAGACATTTGAAGTTGGCTATCATAGCTCCTAAAAGGGACGTGGGTGGCGCTGTGGGTAAAAGCCTCAGCGCCTAGGGCTTGCCGATCGAAAGGTCGGCGGTTCGAATCCCCGTGGCGGGGTGCGCTCCCGCTGCTCGGTCCTAGCGCCTGCCAACCTAGCAGTTCGAAAGCACTCCCAGGTGCAAGTAGATAAATAGGGACCGCTTACTGGCGGGAAGGTAAACGGCGTTTCTGTGTGAGGCTCTGGCTCGCCAGATGCAGCTTGTCACGCTGGCCACGTGACCCGGAAGTGTCTCCGGACAGTGCTGGCCCCCGGCCTCTTGAGTGAGATGGGCGCACAACCCTAGAGTCTGTCAAGACTGGCCCGTACGGGCAGGGGTACCTTTACCTTGATCATAGCTCCTATCATTCTCCTCTTATTCAGGCTAAGCACACCCAACTCCCTTAACTGTTGAGGCCTATAGGTCTTTCTCATGGGAAACTCTATACCAGTATTCCTGAAGGTGCGTCTCCACCCCCAGTGTTCAGCCCAGACACTGAGATCCAGCACCAAGGGCCTTCTGGAGGTTCCCTCACTGCTAGAAGTGAGGTTACAGGGAACCAGGCAGAGGGCCTTTTCGGTAGTGGCACCCACCCTGTGGAATGCCCTCCCATCAGATGTCAAGGAAATAAACAACTATCTGACTTTTAGAGGACATATGAAGGCAGCCCTGTTTAGGGAAGTTTTTAATATTTGATGTTTTTTCACATTATTGTTATTATTATTATTATTATTATTATTATTCTGTTGGGAGCCATACAGAGTGGCTGGGGAAACCCAGCCAGATGGGCGGGGTATAAATAATAAATTACTGTTGTTGTTGTTGTTGATTATTATTTGGATCAGTAATCTTCACAAGACCTTCCCCTCTGCTTTTTTTCTAGGAGGAGCACTTTGTATACCATGACAATTGGGGAGAGGCACTGAGTGATAAAAGCTTCCCTGTCTTGTGCGTGGTGAATGTTGAAACCAGTGAAGTTTCAGTGCTAGAGGGCATCCCAGGGCATATCTCACCTGGACAGGTTAGTGCAATGCAGCATGTGAATTTAATGGGACACTCCTCAAGCCACCATGGATTGCAACCATTTCAGAATAATGAAGCAAGAATAATTAATAAAATGGGAGGCGGAAGTCTCTGACCCATTTGCTTTATTTGGCTTGCAGAAGAATGCATGAAGTGGTCATACTAGGTGTCCTGGGTCATAGAGGTGGTTCTGAGCTCACAAATTGTATTTCTCTTGATGATTCTTGCACTTTTTGCACCCTTAGCTTTTGAATAGGGAATCTGACAGTGGCTTTCCATATCCTCCTAGAAGGTACTTTTTCAGAGCCAACTTTCCCTCAGCCCAGAAAGAGGCTTCCATGTACAGGCAAAAACAGGCAAACCATCTCCCAACCCATCCTGTTGCCTATTGCACTGCCTCTTGCAGTTGACGATCTGTTTGGTACAAGATGCTGTCACATTCGCTCCCCACTTAAAGGTAGAAGTTCACATCCTCTCTGTTTCATGCAAAAAGCACCTTTGCAATGGGTGGAACCATGCATACTGCCTAAAATTTTAAAGGTAGAAAGTTGCTGTTTAAATAAATTGGTGCTGGAGTACAGAGGTTTATTCATTTGTGCAACATCAGTTCAAGCACTAGAGGCTGGAGCTCAGCAGAAGCCTGCTGGAGAAAATGCTGCTTTCTCAGATCCATCACCTGACCCTTCATCATATCCATACCTCCCATGCTTTCTGCTTCCAAACACTTGTAACAGTAAAGTAGTCTGCTGCCTGCAGAGCCCTGAAGATTGGAACATCTCCCAGTAAACAGCCTTGTTGAATTTCAGCCACTGCAGCAGCATTCTGCAAATCTTGCGGGGAGACAATGGAGACGTAGCTTGGCCCATGGTGCAGCACACCCAGATGTGAATGGCTAATATTTTGGTTTCGCTTCCCTGGCCAGGCCCTGTGGTCCCCAGACGACAAAGGTATACTGTTCGTTGGCTGGTGGCACGAGCCCTTCAGACTGGGTTTGAATGCTTGCTCCAACAGAAGGTAGGCAAGGTCACACTTAAACATGGTTTAAGTGTGAAACCATGGATTCAGCTCCTGGCTGTGCCAGGACCAGCCACTGCCTCAGGGAAAATTATGAAGGCAACATTTTGCTCAGTTTAGAGAAAAAAATAAAACAAAAGGGGGAGGGAACCATGTCCTGAACAATGATGAGATCTTAGTCAATGATCTCGGTGATCATTTCTAAAAAGTAGAATCAGCAGGAGTGATATTCTTGGGTTTGGAAGGAGCCCAATGGGTTATTTGTTAGTCCAGCTCCACCCTGTCCTTCCTAAAATAGTATAGACTATATCTAAATGATTCCTGATGGGTGCCAGCCCATATTTTCCTTGGTGAAAACCTCCAAGGAAATGCATTCTGCTTCTTTAAAGTAGCCTGTTCCACACAAAAAATATATACAAATAACCTTGAACGTTTTCCTAAATCAATGGAAGGTGGAAGGGAAAGCCTCAAGATCCTCAGCTTCACTATATTTTAAGTGCAGAGTGTGAAAATTTAACACTACAGTGACTAACATTTAATTCATCATGGGGTGGGTTGCTGAAAAACCTGGTCCCTGTTGGAGATGTCTCACCCATTCCCCTCTCCCTGCCATAGGTCAGCCCTTTTTCTCTTCGATCTCTCTGAAAGTAGCTGTGGTAAGTCATCTTGGAGGCAGCTTATCTCTTGTCTCTCCATGCAGCGCCTTTCCTTCCCATATTCCTCCAACAATGGTGGTGGTGGGGTGTACCTGTAGCTTCTCAGTCACTTGGAGCCCTGGGTGGATTTCCTGACAGTGACAAATGTTTGCACAGTTAGTCAGGGCTATCACATTCAAATATGTCAAGGATTATTTGTTGTCACTTCACAAATGGAAGCATTTCAGCAAAAACATTTCCTGCCTTAGTACTGCAAAGAAAGAACAATGGTGACTGCCAAATTTACAGTCTGTGTGCAAGCCAGAAGAGCCCAGTCTTCCATGGAATTCTGCACCCCAGCAGAATCTCAGTTTTGCAGCTCAGTTTTGCAACTTAGTTTGCCTTTTGTAAAGGAGCTTAAAAATGCCCAGAGATATGGCCTTCTAATGTTTCAGCAATCAGACATGTGGTTTGGATGGCCAGATTTAGGTTTGATGAGGCCCTAAGCTACTGAAGGTAATGGTGCCCGTTATATGTCCAGCTGTCCTTTGTCAACAACAAATTGTTACTGTTTTTTGTGTTGAATATATGCTATATGGTAATTTATGGTAATTTATGAAGGGACGCGGGTGGCGCTGTGGGTAAAACCTCAGCGTCTAGGATTTGCTGATCGCATGGTCAGCGGTTCGAATCCCCGTGGCGGGGTGCGCTCCTGTCGTTCAGTCCCAGCGCCTGCCAACCTAGCAGTTCGAAAGCACCCTGGGTGCAAGTAGATAAATAGGGACCGCTTACTAGCGGGAAGGTAAACGGCGTTTCCGTGTGTGCTGCTCTGGCTCGCCAGAGCAGCTTTGTCACGCTGGCCACGTGACCCGGAAGTGTCTGCGGACAGCGCTGGCTCCCGGCCTCTAGAGTGAGATGAGCGCACAAGCCTAGAGTCTGTCAAGACTGGCCCGTACGGGCAGGGGTACCTTTACCTTTTTAATTTATGGACCTAATAGGTCCATACACAACACAAAACACTGTTGCTGTATGTAGGTTTTATTTTATTTGTTCTTTTATCTTATATCTTGGAAATGTGCATCCATATGTTTTTCTTTAAAAAAATTTTGGGGCCCCCAAGAGAGTGGGGCCCTAAGCTATAGCTTGTTTAGCTTATACGTAAACCTGGCACTGCCTTTACAGGTTACTAGTTTCAAACTTACTTTGCTTTCCAAAGATGTCTATAGTTTCTTCAGTCACTATTGCTCCTTTCTTATATGTTTTATTTTTTTCAAAATGTGAGTAAAGAAACGTTGTCAGAAGAAGCCTCAGAGGTAAATTTACAGAGACTTTTCAGAAAAGGAATTCAGATCGTCCACTGTTAATGTTTTTCTAATTTCATCACCTGGGGACTTCTGGCCAATTGCCTTTATTAGGTTAAAGTATTCTTTGCATATGCAACTCCTCTTCGATGGGTCTGAATGCCCTGCTACTGCATTGTGTCTGTGGTTGCAGAGTTGCTGTCCTCAGATTCCGAGGCTGTTTCCTCTCCCCGGCTCAGCCCTGACGGAACTCGCCTGCTATACCTTGAGTGCCCTGTATTTGGCCCTCATCGCCAGTGTCTGAAGCTACAGATGGTAAGTGTGGCACTTCTGGTAGGTAGTTGCTTGGAAGAGAAGGGACTGTGGGTGCAGGCAGGTCATAATAGCAAAGGAACTGTGGAATTTGAAATGAGTATGCAACAACAACAAAAAACATTTAGAGAGTAGAAAAGCTGAGTTCAACATGGCCTTATTATAAAAAGTTAAAATGATACGAGTTCTTAAATCCAACTAATTCTGATTGCAGGATTAAAACATTGTAGAATTTAGCATTTATTGAAAGATGCTGGAAGGGAAATTAGCTTGGAATCGACTACTGAAAAGATGCAGAGCAACTGGTCTGTGGGATGCAGTGGAGGAGGAGTGTGAAGTTTGCTGCTTTGTATTCCTTACTTGATTTGTTCCCTCCTGCTTAGCTCAACTGGCAAACTAAGCTCACATCTACAGTGGTGGACGTAGTTAGGACTGCCACATCTGGTAAGTCTCAATTTCAGAGACTGGGCATGCAAAATTAGAGTTGCTTTTTTATCGCCTTGCCTCTTCAGTTCATACATGTCCTACCACCCAGCTCCTGCTACCACATACAAAAAGAATGCTAAGGCTTGCTTTTGTTACCCAAAAATGGAGAGTCCTGCAGTCAGCCATATGCCTCCATATACACCGTATTCCATGCAGTGTCTTTTTATAATATCTGTTTGATGCTGTTCTCCAACATTTCTCCAAAGCTCCAGACTTCGGCCATGTTTTACTTTAACCATTTCCTCCCTTTTCAGGGTTTTTGGGGATTTACTCAGGGGCACTGCCTCTGCTTTGCTGGGCTGCTGACAACCACAGAGTCCTGCTTAGCACTCCTCAAAGGAGTAGAAAGGTATGCTGAGACCAGAAGGGAAGACTTTGGGGTGTGAAGATGGTGGGCCAAGGAAAGTTTGCAAATCAGTTAATGCTTTCCACCATTCCTGAGAATTTGCAAGATGTATAGGAAGATGTTCAGGTTTATGTAGCATGAATGCAAAACAATTGGCTTTATAGAAAGTGTGTGTGTGTGTGTGTGTGTGTGTGTGTGTGTGTGTTTTCATACATTTGTCTTCCACCAATAACCTCAGAACAGAGCTTTAAGACTCACAACAATCTCTATGATGTAGGTTAGGTTTAAATATTGTCGTGACCTGCTCAGTGAGCTTTGTATTTAAACAGGGATTTGATCTTGGCTTCTCCATGTCCTAATAAAGTACTTTTGCCACTCAGATACACATTTCAGAAATGTAAGAGCCAAGCTTTAATTACAGCTGGGGAATGTGAACCATGTGTACTGAACCTGAAAAGGCTCATAAGGGTGTAAAAAGTATCTGTTGGAAATCAGAGATGAAGAAACTGTGATTGAGAAGCTGGCATACAGGAGGCCTCAAGGCAGCAGTGGCTTTACTTCCCTCACTGCCTTAGACAGACAGGAGCATGGGATCAAACTTGGAACTAATTTACCAGTTCCTGAGCGTCCTCCCCAGTTCCTTCCCTGCCTTACCTAGGAACTGAGCCCTAGTCTTTCTCTAGTCTTGGATTACTTCAGAGGCAGCAAAAGTTGTGTCCTCCAGATGCTGCTGGACTCACATCATCCCTGAATACAGTCATACCTTGGTTCTTGAACAGCTTAGTTGACAACCAAATTGGCTCCCAGACGCCGAAAACCCGGAAGTAAGTGTTCCGGTTTTTGAACGTTTTTCAGAAGCTGAACATCCGACGCTAATTCCACTTGAGCGCAGGAAGCTCCTGCAGCCAATCGGAAGCTCTGCCTTGGTTTTCAAACAGTTTCAGGAGTCGGATGGATTTCCAGAACGTATTAAGTTCGAGAACCAAATTTCCACTGTATGCTGGCTGGGGCTGATAGAAGTTGGAGTTAACACTATTTGGAGTGTTACATTTCTTCAAGTGGCTACAGCACATTTCCCCCCAGGATTACACAATAGATTTTGGACATACTGTGGTTCCAATCTGCGTCGTTCCTGCCTCAGAAGGATGTTCTCTGCCTTTCTTTTTCTCTGTGCTTTGACTCTCCATCAGGATACAGAACTGGGGATACAGAACTGGCCTTGCTAGTTAGTGCAAAGTTTGATCATGTATCCCTGCCTTTGGTGACTGGGTTAACACATTGTTATTTGGCGGGTTCTTGCACACCCACTGACAGGAGCCTTCGTGGTAGGTGGCCAGTGTTCCAAAAATGGGGAACACTGTATCTTCTCTGAGATGATGTATGAGGAGGAAAGTGAGAAAAAGCTTTTTTCCATTATTAAGTTTCCATGGGCTCTTGTAACAGAGCAGCCGCTTTCCCAGCCCTCACTTTCCTTCCTTTATTATCTCTTGCAGGAGCTGCTGGTTGTGGATACCGAGCTGGGGAGTGTGAAGGCTCTTACAGAAGGTACAATCAAATCTTAGCTTGCAAAGTCTAGGGGCCGTATTGTGTTTGCTGAGATTCTGTCCCAAAGACCAGGCACGTTAATTGAGAAGTCTCCCATATCCTGTATTTCTGCCCATTTCCGAGATCTCAGGGAAAAGGAAGGGGCTAGAAGGCTAAAGCCAAGCTCTTCCACTTCCTGTATGCTGGCTTACATTCTCAACAAGAGGCAGCCACTACTAATCCATGCCAGATCTAGTTCCCTTGATTTATAAGGGGTCTTTTTTTGAGGCAAATGAAGCTAGAATATTGGTGCTAGGCTACTACTTCTGTTCATTGTGTACATATTTTCTATATGTGTATGGAACTGGCCTGAGCTACCATCCTCCTTTTCTTCTTCTTCTTTGGCGATCACTCGTAGCCGAGTAAGATTGTTTTCAATGAACATTGTTTTAACAGTGAGTCCGTAAGTGATTGTGGAGCCCAATTCTGGATCCACATGTCCTACCACAGTGGGGACATAGGTTTCCGGGCAGGAGTTGATCATGGTGAAAGTTTCCAAACATGCCTTCCACTTAGCATGCTTCTTCATTTCGTCCTGAGTTTGAGCGTCTTCAAAGCCCATGACACCTTTGGTAAAGGCTGTTCTCCAATTGGAGTGCTCGCAGGCCAGTGTTTACCAGTTGTCGGTGTTTATACTACAGTTTTTTATATTTGCCTACCTACCCACTCTATTCTCTTTCTCCCCCTTAAAGAGCAGTGTAGCAGGGAAATGTTTTCTCTCAAAGCCAGGTGCTTTCTTTCCCCCTCCTTCCCCTCCTTCCCAAGTCATAGCTGACCTGTTAAGTCACTGACAGCCCCAATAACTCCTAAGCAATATTCTCTGTAACCCGTCCTAGGCACTCCAGAAGGTAGCTGGACCCTGCTGGGAATTCAGCAGGATCTCCTGGTGGTGAGCTGCTCATCTCCCAATTGCCCTCCAAGCCTGGTAAGAAACTTACCTTGCAGGTCAAGGTGTGGGTTGCTTCACCCTCCAATCCCCTCCCCATTATTTCTAGGGGAACCTGATAAAATTGGCAGGGGCCGGAGTGAGCTTTCATGTTGTGCTCTTTTTCATAATGCTTGTATGTGAATTTTTAGCAAGGCTGTAGCCAAAAAACCCAATGTGAATGTTTCTTTAGTGTGACTATTTAGTTCAAACCACAGATATGCCTCTGTAGCCCTCCAGATGTTGTTGGACTCCAACTCCAGCCAGCATGGCCAGTTATCAGGGATGCTGGGATTTGCACTCCAACAACATATGGAGGGTCATAGGTTTCCCAGTCCTGATTTTCACACTGGCCTAGTTCACACTGAGCCATGGTTTGTTTGCTAGCAGCAAATCACAATGTGAAAGCAAGGTTTATTCCTGGCTTATGAGTAATGGTTTGTTTTTTCTGTGGTTGGTGCTATGTCCAGATTCAGCAGCCTTACTTAACCATGGTTTATTTGGGCACTTCACCCATATGCTCAACAGGCTACAGAGGAATTGAGGGAAGAAAAGCCGGAAAACAAACTAAGCTTTAAAAAGCTGTGGATGGTTTGCTCATATGTGAGATGATATGTGGTTTGTTGAATAAATTGTGGCCAATACAAATTATGGTTTAGCATTACATTTTAATGTGGTCACTGTATATAGCAACACAGAAACAGTAAGCAATGTCATCTTGGGAATACCTTCAGAAAGAAATCTCAGCCCAAGCCCTGGAGCCCATCAGCCTTGTGCTTAGAATAAAAGCTCATCCATGGTTTGTGCTAATTGTAGTTAAGACACCATAGGCAAACCATGGTTTTGAGCTGCTTGTTTCCTTTAGTTTTCCTTTTGCTCAGCACTCATTTCTTCTTGAAACAATTGGCTCCAGAGGTAGAGCAACATCCATCATTGAAGTTTATGAATTCTGGCAAACTACGGTTTGATATCTTGGTTTGGCAGCTTATCACAAACACTGACTTTTGAAATAATATAAGTTCAGCCATAAAACAAGCCATGATTTGCACTTACAAACCATGGTTTGGCATGCCAGTTGAATACATCCTTAGTGAAACAAACAGTTGTGTAAATTCCCTTGTGGATTGCAACAAATGCAGACTCCATCAAAGATAGATATTTGAGGACAAAGCTAGTGCTATATAGGCTACTTGCTAAGAGATCTTGTGCAACACACTGTTTGGTCCTTCAAGTTAAGTAACAAACTATTACACCTGCTTCGCAGAAGGTGGGAGTGCTTCCCCCTGCAGGATGTGAGCTGGAACTGCAGTGGACGAGTGTGGAGGAAGCCTCTGTACTGCCAGATATGGAATGGAAGATTCTCACAGTACATCCTCCCATGACTGAGGACAACCAGTACAGTAAGGATGCAGGAACAGGGAGCCTCAGGCCAGGCACTTGACTCACTCTCTCTCTCACACACTGTTGGTTGTGCTTTACTCTGTACTATGCAGTAAGTTTGTCTTAAGTGGGACTAAGGTTGGCTGTCTGGCATAAGTACAGTTTGTAGGGGGACAGCCTGGCTTATGGGAATGGTCAGGGCTCCTGCATAGGTGAGGTGCATTCTTCATTAATTCATTTTGTATGTGCTTTGTTTTTTGAAAAAATCTAATTAAAGAGTAATCTGAGCTTGCTGTAGAAATGGGGGATAGATTCATCACCTTGCCCTGAGTGCTAGGACAGCCCAAATAGAGTTAAATAGGATGAATGGAATGAAAGAGTTCAGCATTGGGTAGCCTGGATTCTTCATCCATAGTGTCACTGTAATGTTTGAGCTGCAGAGGAAAATTGGGGAGGACATTGCACTGATGGTCCTTCGTAACATAAGTTAAAGTCTTAAGGCAAGCATCCCCAAACTCGGCCCTCCAGATGTTTTGGGACTGCAATTCCCATCATCCCTGACCACTGGACCTGTTAGCTAGGGATGATGGGAGTTGTTGTTCCAAAACATCTGGAGGGCCGAGTTTGGGGATGCCTGTCTTAAGGCCTTCTTTTGCATTTGGGGCCCTGAGCAGGAGGAGGTGCTGGTGGAGGAGGAGGGGTGCCTGTCAAGCCCTGGAGTTGCAGGTTGACTCCTCCAGGGTAGTGAAGTTTGAAAAATGGCACTCAGCAGCAAACAGCTAACGTGTGGCCTTTTTTGCAGCTGGCCAGGCATTTGAAGCCCTGTTGCTGACTCCTCGGGGGAACAGACGAGAAGAAAAGACATTTCCCCTTATTGTTTCTCCACATGGTAAGTCACCACAGCTCTTTTCTGCTGCCTGCCCTGACAGCTGGCCCCATCCTTCTTTGCTTCCTTCTCGTCGTTCTGTTAGGACCCTATCCAAGGTGATCATTTTACATTTTTCCCTATGAGAGCAGAAATCTTAAGACTGAATTCTGAAATGTAAAGAGGGCATTTCCAACCTGTTGCCTATTTTCTTGTTTCCTAAACATAAACTTCTCAGCTGCTGATTGTGAAGGGGGTATATGACAGATCGGTGGTGCCTTGACTTCTCTGAACTCTTTCCCCAAATTGGGAGATGGCCTTTAAAGCTGACATTCTGTTTCCAGGTGGCCCGCATGCTGTCTTTGATGCTTGTTGGCGTCCTAAAATGGCAAGTCTCTGCCAGTTGGGTTTTGCTGTGCTCATGGGTGAGTGCCAGAAGACCCCTGTCTCCCACCCACCCACCCACCCAAATACACTCCTTGCTGCTACTCCCGAGGGCTTGGCGAGAGAGTCAGCACATGCATTTTACTGTGTGTCTAACAATCCAGTGTACAGTTACAGATAGGTAGCCGTGTTGGTCTGCCATAGTCAAAACAAAAAAAATTCCTTCCAGTAGCACCTTAAAGACCAACTAAGTTAGTTCTTGGTATGAGCTTTCGTGTGCATGCACACTTTTTCAGATTGTGTATTGGATGGGAGAAGGATGCCTTGCTGAAAAAGAATAGCCATTTGACTTCTTGAAGGATGTCCTCAGATTTCCAATTTCCTCTCAGCCCTCCCACCTGCCCCCCTTGAGAAAAAAATGCCATGAACAAACCAGGAAGTTATTTCCAGTTCTGCAGAGCTGAGTTAAACTAGCCTTTTTCTGATTCATTCTTACTGCTTGAGAAATGACTCTGCTTGAGAAATACCTCAGCAAGTTTAGTATGCATTGTGACAAAAAGAGGGTGAGATTGTCTTGGTGTGTCCTAGCAGAAGTTGGGAAACAGAACAAGAAATTCCCTGTCAAATGGCCCTGAAGGGGTTTTATGTGTGTGAGAAGACAATGGAGCCTCGTTTGACCTAAAGCTAAGGGTATGCAGAGGCAGAATTTTCTGTACTCTGCAACCCAGGCAGTGGCTTGCAATTCAGTTTCTAGGCAGCACTTAAGCCAGTTTCCTGGTTCAAATATTATGGCGAACTGGGATTTACCTGGAAACCAGGAAATCCGCTCTCAAGCCAGACATGTGCCAGGAGTAGAGAAGCACTCGAGCTGAGTGCTTGTTTCCATTCCAACAAATCAGTTTATTGTAATGGCAACGTTATGTCTAAACTGGACCAACATGACAACAATATCCAGTAAGTGTGCCATAGGAAATTGAAAGCAGGATATTGTCTTGCATGTGGTTTGTAACAGTTTCATGTTCAGACATAAGTGTTCACTGTGCGAAGCACACCTCAGGGGAGCAGGTGTCCCTTGATGCCACAACCACTCACACTTTGCTTTGCCTTTTTTCTGGGCAGTGAATTACAGGGGTTCTCTGGGCTTTGGGCAAGCCAGCATCGAGTCACTAATCTCCCATGTGGGAGTGCAAGATGTGGAGGACACTCAGGTCAGCCCCTTTCCTTTCTTTCCCCATTCCCTGGAGTAAGGCCAAGCTTTGATGATAGAAGAACAAAGGATGATAATGGCACTGAGTATCAGTTTGCTCTGCTTATAACAGCAGGCAACCCATTTCCCCTTTAGCAGCTGGTGGGGCTGCATGGGTGGGGCTCTGTCCCTGTCCTGGCTTCCCAACACCATGGGCTGCTACAGCTTACTGAAGGCTGAGGGGTAAGGAGTTCAGCACATAGTGGCAGAGTCATTGAATGGGCTCACGGTGCACCATGCTATGGGGTGGGAAGGAGAGGTAATCACAAAGCCCACCTAAAATTATCTATAGGCTCTGCACACATGAAGACTGCTCCTTCTGTTCAGCCCCTTTCCCCCTTTCATGTCAGCAGCTTGTGAGAGGTCATGGCAAAGCCATACCTGCCAGCTTGACTGATGGCATAGATCTTCTTGGTCAAGTGTGAGATATGTTTTTGAACAGCAGAACCCCTGGACCTTGAGCCCAGGGGCGCTAATGGGACAGCTTCATGCAGAAACATCTGTCCACATCTCTCTGCCAGCATCCCTCAAGAAGACACCCTCTGCCTTGTGCAATCAGTTGATGCTCATTGAGCTTTGGGGGATGAGGTCAGCTGGAGCCGGGGAATCACATGTGAGAGTGGATATGATAGTCTACAGGCTCAGGATTGAGGGCTGCCTTCCCCACCCCTGTTGGTTGAGCCTTTTTGGAAAGAGGCTTGCACCAGTCCCTGCAAACATACCTGACTTCGACTTATTTCGGCTCTGGCAGCTGGCAGTGAAATTGGCATTACGGACGGAACCTCTGGACCCAGATAGAATTGCTTTGCTGGGAGGGTCCCATGGTGGCTTTGTCTGCTGCCATTTGATTGCCCGATACCCAGAGATGTACAAAGCCTGTGTAGTCAGAAGCCCTGTCATCAACATGGCCACTCTACTGGGGACCTCTGACATCCCTGACTGGTAAGGAACTTCTTCATTTTTTTCTGCCTTGCCCAAGCCATTTTCATTCACGCATCTCTCTGCCAAGTCCCCTTCCTGTGTCAGTTTGAGCCAATCTCCCTAATCCTCACTATTCAGGTTGCATTCACCCTCTCTTCTTCTCTGACCCCATTGCCCCACTCAACAAGGCCACTTCCACAGCTATCTGAAAATTGTTTTTTGTTTGGCTCTTTGGTAGAGCTCAGGATTGAGGGCATGATGCTAACGGACTGCATTGTTTCCATAGGAGGTATGCAGTGCTAGGTCTGCCATACTGCTTTGAGAGGATTCCTACTGAGGAAGACCTGACTGCCATGCTGCTCTGCTCCCCTATAATTCATGCTGCAAAGGTAAGAGACAGTTAGTAGAACTGTTCATTGGATGTAGCATGTGTCCCTCTAGCAGGTGCCATTTTTTGTTGGGTCGTCCTTTCAACCCACCCTTTGTGCCATATGTAGGGCTCTGTGTATTGCCCCAGATTGACACCAAAACTGTACTGCTGCTTAATTTGCATCTGCATTTGCAGTATATAATTCAGCATCCTGAGAACCATTATGGCTGAAGACAGACTTGACTGTACATGAAAAATGCTTCCTGATATTTGAGCAGCCAGAAGAAAAGCTAAATAGGATTTCTGGAGTGTGTGCATAATCTCATTGTCCTTAATGGCAACAGGGATGCCCTTGACTATATCTATAAATAGCAGAAGCCAAATAGGCATCTAGGTTCCACTGGCTTCATTTACATGGTCTATATAGTTGCAGGGTTCTAATTTTCTTGGCACAGCATTTTTATTTTTTACTTTAGTGAAAAGGCAGATTTTGGTACTTGGCTCCAGGCAAGAAGTAGGGCCTTGTTTTTGTTAGTCACACACTCCTTCTCCTACAGGTGCACACACCATTATTGATGTATGTGGGTGCCAAGGACCGACGAGTGTCTCCGTACCAAGCTCTGGAATATTACCGTGTGCTGCGAGCCAGAGGTATCCCTGTGCAGTGAGTTATCATCCTTTGCCTTCCACATATTTGGGTTAGCAATCTTCACACTTTTGCTTGAGCAGAATCCCATGCCCGGTAGCTAAGCTATTCTCTCTTCCAGAATGTATTGAAACAACCAGTGTTTGTAGAACACAAGTCTCTCGCAAAACTAATCCAAATCTGAGAGCATGCATACTTTGAAGAGTGTGTGTGTTCCTTGTGTAATCCTTCTGTTCCCAAAACATGCCAGGACCCTTCTTCCAAGCTTTTCACATTGCATATGCATAACTGCTCTGGGTTCTCTTCAGTGTTGTTCCGTATGTTTGGCCAAAGCCTTCTCTTAAATATGGAGAGTAACACACCAGGGAATTAAGGTTTCTCTATATTTGACTACAGTACGCTTGGAATCACTGGCTTGGTGGCTTTGGCGGAATAGCACCCTCAGTCACTTCCACCTGATGTTCATGAAGCTTCTGAGCCCCTCCTCGGTTTGCCGCCCCATTCATCTTGAGGTGGTGAGAGTGATTACCTTCACACCCTTCTGGAAAAGTGCATGGAATTGAATGGGAAAGCTAGACGAGTAATGCTTCTCACTTCCTCCTTCAGCTGTATATGCTTAGACTCAGGTCAATACCTGAGCAGCTGAATGGTAAGCAGAATATCTAAGAGGATAGGAGGAGGACAGTGGAGCAACTGGTGGCAGGTGGAGGGAGGAGGCAGAGAGGTGAAAACTGGGCTCTGCAGGAGTCAGTAGAGAAAGAGAATTACCGGTAAGTGCAAGAGAGGCACGCACGTGTATTTGCAAGTTGGATACAGTAAAATTGACCCTCTTGAAATGACGTAATTTATTCTTAGCATCACCAGCATCATTGTGTATGTCTGCATGGACTGAACCATGAAAACAACAGCTCTGGAGCTTTCTAGTCCTGCCATGATACAAAACCATGGATCCAAGACACAGATCATCCTGGGAATTCTAGAGGATCAGCTTTAATTCTACTGGATCTGATTTTTACCCAGACCCCATAGGAAAGCGAAGTCTATCCCTGTGTGTGTCCGTGCATCTGTTGTGAGGGGAAAGGATTTGAGAAGGTGACAAGTAGAAAAGAACAACTGGAGGGGGTGGTGCTGATGGCATTCTCTCATAATTCCAAATGTTCCCAGAGGACCAAAAAGGTTGGTGACTCCTAAGCTATGCCATCCTTGCCTCCTTTTGCCCATTGTGTCCTGCCTAAATGAGGTTTCTTATCAGGAGAAGCAGCAAGGTAACCAGTAGATGGTGCTGGTGCTTCAGTATCTACCCTTTCAGTCAAAGGGGAGAAATTCCCTCTATGCAAAGCGTACTAGGTACACTATATTATTGCTACTTTGATCAGTTTTCACTGTTAAGCAATTGTCCACACTTTGGATACTCCTTAAGATCATTTTTGCATGTCTGTGTGGCATAGTTTCTTTTAAAATTGTAGTATCAGGAAAATGATGCAATATGTAACAGATCTAAAGTTGAACAACTCTGTATCTGGAAAGACTAGCTTCAGCATCTAACTTGCATTACAAAAGAGGCTAAATGGACAGGTACAAGATAATCTGTTAGTGCTAGAGCACATTATGGAGGACTTCAGCAATAAATATCTGTGGCTGGGTTGCAAGGCATTAATACCAAAGGGAAGTAAGGACGAACTGAGAGAAGATATGGAAGGATAAAAGAAAACATTTCAGAGTTACTTTTCTATATGGTAGCTGTGCGGAGACATTTTGGTCATAAATAACAGTATAAGGCGGGGGTGGGACTTGGATGAAACTACATTTTATAATCTGTTCTGTTTCTGCTAACCTGTAAAAAAGGCCATGTACAGCTAAAGGAATTGATTTCATATACAGTAGTGGTGTTGCCAGCCCAATGCCCACAGGAACCATGGTGCCTGCAAAGACTGTAACTGGTGCTTACAAGCAAGGTCCCCAGACTCTGAGCTGCTTCTTTTTAAAAAAAATGAATGTCTCTAACTCTCCTAGAAAGAAGTTATGGTGCAAACTGGGAAGGTACCCTTCTAAATGATTTCTGTAAAATGAGTGAGGCTGGCTTCTCCTGCCTGTCATTGTTTCTAATTATTGAAGTTAGAGCTATGATTGATAAGTGAGTTGTTTGAGCACCAGGCAGCAGGAATTGCTGGGGTTCTAAAGAGCTGCTGTGTCCCTCACCCTTTTAGTGTACCTTCCCTGCTCTGTTTTTCTAGGAGTCCTTGGAGTGCCTGGAATCTCCGCTATTTGCCCTACTCTTTTCCCCTATCAACCAGGATGCATTTTTCCTGTGTTGATTTTGTCTAAGATCAGGTTATTTCTGCAAATAGTACTACACAGTAAGTGAAGCTAGGTGTTAAAGAATCCCCTCCTCAAATAGCAAATGCAAAACATTGCAATGAACCTTAAGACATTTCTGTAGGTGCGGGAACTGTTGTCCAGGCACTCGTTTAGAATTAATTGTATAGTTAGCTTAAAGTACAATGGTGTACGTGTCTTATTCAGAAGTATTTCTCCTTGTCTTTAATGGGGCTAACTCCCAGGTAAGTAGGTGCAGGATGGCAGCCTAGGCTTTGGTTTAGGGTTGGCATGGAATAAAACAGGGTTCTTGATCTGTAACTCCACACTGACTTCCCGTGATAAATTTGAGGTATTCTGGTAGACAGGGGAGCAGCAATGGCTGTACACACTAATTTTGTGTTACATTTGTGGCAGCCTTTTTGTGACAGGCACCCTCAGTACTCTCAAAATTCAAAATGTGCTCAACTGGTCCAAAGAGGTTGGCAACCCCTGTCTTATATGCTAATTTACTACAAAATCATGGTATGCAAAATATTGGGGAAAGGCTCAGATACCAAACATGACTGAGTGGGAATTGACAATTTATTAATAGGAAGTAATGGGGAAGCTTACAAGTTATATAGGGGTTAATGAAGGGAAGGAAATGATTAAGAGACTTGTTCGGAACTGGAAAAAGATGTATGTTTTTTATTGGTATAATAAGGCACATACTTCAGGAACTTTACATTTTTTTACTTGACATGTTGTAACAAGAAACAGGTAGTGAAGGGCAAAATCAAAGTATGGATGTACTATATAGCGTGGAAGTGTTGCGTAGCCTAGTTATGTTATTAAACTTGAAATGCATATGTATTGCATTCCTAAGTAAGTTCCAAATGGCAGCTGCAGTACACAGTGGAAACCATAGTTCGTTTTCAGTTGCACTATTATGCCTACAAAGTAGGTTGCAAACTTTCAAAGCTTGTATGTTCTTTCTCAGACATAGCTGTTTAGAGGAAATCTTTTTTTAAAGACTGTGTTCCGTTTTATAGCAGAAGAGCCGAAGGGAAACAGAAGGGCGATGGAAAGGGTGACACAAAGACCACCCCTGTTAGTACAATCAGTTTCCTATATCCACAGGCATCAGAATATAGTACAGTGCTACCTCGGGTTACATACGCTTCAGGGTACACATGCTTCAGGTTACAGACTCCGCTAACCCAGCAATAGTACCTCGGGTTAAGAACTTTGCTTCAGGATGAGAACAGAAATTGTGTGGCGGCAGCGGGAGGCCCCATTAGCTAAAGGGGTGCTTCAGGTCAAGAACAGTTTCAGGTTAAGAACGGACCTCCAGAACGAATTAAGTTCTTAACCCGAGGTACCATTGTACATGGTCCACAGATAATATAACTGGTGTCCCAGAACATCTATTAACATTTCATACTGCAGAGCAATATGGTTCGTTCTTACAAAGCCAAGTAGGTTGTGGAACACCCATGATTTAGCAGACCTATTTTCCCATGCCTAGGCTAGGCTGTAGGATCACCTGGAGTAGCCAGAAGATGAAGTGATGTCTGAGCTTTGCCCCGAAGGGGCAGTTCAGACATCATTAGAATTGCTAACAGAAAGCCGCACAAATGCCTTGTGCTTCTACTTTTTCATGTTTTCCAAACATAACATCTCATCTTATACAATATAACAAACCTTTGCCTATCACAGCCTAGGACTTGCGTCAACCTCGACTAATGGTTTTCTATCTTTCTGATTTTGCATATTATTTTAATAGTTATTGCTATAAAATCCAATTCCTAAATAAACTCCTTCTTAGTCCTTTTTCGCAATACTTCATATAATTCTCCTTACAAAACTTTTTGCAACCCTACAAGCGATGTCAATTGATTACACTTGTCTTCCAAATATATCATAAATTTCTCCCAATCTTTCAGGAAAGTCTGGTCTTGCTAGTTCTGAATTTTCCCAGTTAATTTCGCCAACTCGGCATAGTCCATCAGTTTCATCTGCCACTCTTCTTTTGTTGGTAGTTCTTGCTTCCATCACTAGGCTAATAGTATTCTTGCTTCAGTTGTTACATATAAAAACAATTTTTTATCATGCTTGTAAATCTCTGAGCCGCTTCTGGCAAACCAGAGCAGCGCACGGAAATGCCGTTTACCTTCCCACCAGAGCAGTACCTATTTATCTACTTGCACTTTGACGTGCTTTTGAATTGCTAGGTTGGCAGGAGCAGGGACCGAGCAATGGGAGCTCACCCCATCGTGGGGATTCGAACCGCCGACCTTCTGATCAGCAAGTCCTAGGCTCTGTGGTTTAACCCACAGCGCCACCCGCGTACTCTTAAGAGGACTCAATTCCATGGAAGGTCCTGAATGTAGAGCCTAAGCGGAACCAAACTTAATCTCTCTCTCTCTCTCTCTCTCTCTCTCTCTCTCACACACACACACACACACACACACACACACACCAAAAGCTAAAAGTTAGTACTATCTAAAAGGTCCAGTCCCTGCTCAACCATATTGATTGTTCAGAATTGTGGACAACAGCAAAGGCTATCCCCAAGTATACAACATGCTTACATATATGTTGACAGGATTTTGTAAAGTTGAATATGATGTAGTGTCACATGTAGGAGTGTGCCACTGTTGCTGAAATGTGATTGGAGCACGATGGAACAGAAGTGTAGGCAGAGAATGGGGGGGCGC